TCCCCTATTGTGTTCACCTTGCTCATTCTCTCCCTCATCTCTTCTCTATTTACCAAGTTATCCACTACAAGAAAATGCACTTTTAGCGACCACTTTGTCTCTCTCTCGCTCATCACTTTGTCTCTGTCTGTCTGTCTCTCTCTCTCTCTCTCTCTCTCTCTCTCTCTCTCTCTCCATCTCTCTTCTCTATCTGTCTCTCACTCATCTCTCTTTCACCACCTATCTTCTCTACCACATTCACCACTACTACAAATGCCATTCCACTACTACCACTGTTGTCACTCCACCTCTACAACTATCATTACTACCACCATCGCTACCACTCCACTACCACCACTACTACCACGAGGGTTATGTAGTGATTTTCAAATGTCAGGGGGTTAATTCGCACCCCCAAACCACAGGGGGGTAAAATGAATTTTGCCCTTTAATATAAATAGAAAATCCATGGATCCAAAAAAAAATCCAGAAACTTGTTACCCAGAATATGGTAGCAAAAAATTGTTGAATATATTCGAAGATCTTCTGTAAGATTGTGATTCGAAAGTAACTCTTCAGATGTCTATCTGGGGGAATCTCTGTATTATCAAAAAAGTGAAAAAGACACAACTTGTCCCTTTGGTATGAAATGAAAAAGCTTTAACTGGCCTTTGCTAGTAGGAGTCTCTCCTCCTATAAGCTGATGAGACATTATGTCATACCCACAGCTGGTTTGTCTCGGCATCCTTAGCATACAAACAATAAAAACAAAACCAACATAATTTTTTTTTTTATTCAAATTTATTTGATTTTGTTTTTTTTCTTGATCTGTTTTTCCCATACAGATCTGCCTAGTACTGCTACTCATCCCAGCCTCTCTGCTGTGGACGAACACGACAGCCTTCTTTTAGAAGCAATTGGAGAGTAATTCAATTTCTATCCTTTAAACTTTACATTATACATTAGCTTAGCATACATATCCTTTCTATTTATTTATTTTAAATATATATATATATATATATATATATGAGTTGATCTTTTATTGAGTTTTTGATCTGTTACATATATATATATGTATATATGATCTGGTTTTTTTCTTGATCTGTTAAATAAATATATCTATATATATATAATTGATATTGGGAAATATATATATATATATATATCTGTTAAATATATCATTCCCTTTTGATTTATGGGGATGCAATGTCATCTTGGTTAAGCTATCTTGGGAAATAAATTGCAGCGGAGAATATGATTTGTTTTCAAGTATCTTTAAACTAGGAAGTGTTGTTTCTCAGCACTAAACATGTCTCCATTTTGCCAATGGGAGTTTGTTTTTGGTATCTAATTGATCTCCATGTATTTAGACATTTTGCCATTTTGATCTCCATTTTGCCGTTTTGATCTCCATTATGCCATTTTGATCTCCATGTAATTGATCTCCATTTTGCCATTTTGCCAATGGGAGTTTGTTTTTGGTATCTAATTGATCTCCATGTATTTAGACAATATACGCCTCCTTTTGTTTTAGTAGTTTTCCTCAGTTATGGAAATTTTTATGCTTTTAGTCAACTTTTTATCTTGATCTGTGAATCATTAATTCAAGGCATGTACTAATTCATTTATGCTATTTTGCTGGGTTCCCATTTGTACTTAACTGGGATTGGAATACAATGGATTTGATTTTTTATCTTGTAATGGATATTTTTTTTTAACTTTTAATTTCAATTTTTGGGTAACCTATCCCTTGTGCTTGGGATTAATTATTTTCTTTGCTACTTGTTGAATTTTCTTATGTGTGGGTTGTGTATGGGCTGCTGAATTTTCTTGGAGAAACAGGAGGCTATTTTATGAGTTTTGTATGGCACTGTCTCAATGATGACAATCTCAATGTTTTGTATGCTACATGATGTTTTGTGTATGGGTTTTGTATGGCAGTCTCAATGTTACAGGATGTATGGCACTGTGTGGGTTTTGTGTGCAGGATGTAATGTGTGTGGCAGTGTCTCAATTCTCAATGTTTTGTATGGCACTGTGTGGGTTTTGTGTGTGGGTTTTGTATGCTACAGGATGTAATATGCAGGATGTAATATGCAATTTCACATGCTATAGGTTGTGTATTATAGGATGTAATATGCAATTTTTTTTTTTAATAGGCAAATATGTTGGCAAATATTTTTGGCTGGTTAACTTGATGACCAACCACTGCCCCAGCTAAGTCCATCCTATGAGACCAAGAGTGGGGGGGCATTGAGGTCTGTTACTTGGTAGCTGGTGCAGGAATTTGCCCTTTTGCTATCTCTAGTGGGTACGTGTTTTGCACCCTTTTTCAGCACATCAACTATTTTTTATTTTTATTTCTATTTCTATTTTGTTTTTTATTTTTAGTTTTGAGAATTTCCACTGAAGTTTTATAAATAGAGAGGTTCTAAGCATTATTAGTAACTTATATAAAAAAATTAAAAAAAGTTTCATGTTTTCCTATTGAATACTTTAGCAGTTATACATATATCATTTGACCTTTTCTCATTGGTGTCTTCATTTTCTAGTTTCTAAGACATTAAAACCATATGTTTGACATAGGTGATTCTTTTTCTTGTTAAAATTGTTTTTGTGTTTTGTTAATTTATTAAGAAAATTACTTTAATCAGCTACCAGATGGAAGGGGTCATCAAAGTTGGCATAGAACGGTTCCAAGCTCCAGAGGCTCTTTTACTCCTGTAAGTCTGTTTTTCTTGTTAGTTACTTATCTTCAAGAAAATGGGAATTTATCTCTTCTACTATTTGGTACATATACACAGCTATGAGGGCTGGTTGATGGATCTTTGTTCCTTAATTAAAATATGGGCACACTTCCTCTGCATATGTACTTTAACAAGATGATTGTGAATAGGTTAAAATTGTTGGTTTGTACAACTTTCTAAGACACTTTGTAAATTGATGGGTATATGCACTACAACTATAGAGGCAGGTCCTTTTGCCATGGACCACTCCCTACCTTGTGCCATATACACTTTGTAATGCATTTGGGTTTATTTCATTTATTTTGTTTTATTTAACTTTTAATTTGTTTTATTTTTCACAGCTCTACCAACACATAGTTTTAAGTGGGGGGAGTACTATGTATCCTGGATTGCCTAGTCGGTAAGAAATTTAAATCCCCTTTTGCATTATATAAAATCATTGCACTGCTTTCTTCTTGGTGATTAATTTGTCTCTCACAAGTTATATTTGCAGTGATTTTTCAACTTATTGGACTTTTTGAAAACTTGGTCTTAATTGCTCTATGTTCTTCTCTTGGAAAACATCTGTCCGCATGTTTTACAGTCTTGCAACTAAAGTAGTCATCTGCCTTTGTGATTTTAATAATGAATCGCTAATCTAGTTTCGTAAGAACCCAAGGAGATGCCCTCTTTAGTTCTGGTACTTCGATATAGCTTTAAATTTAGAAAGAAATTTTAGACCGTTATCTTGAAGCTGTTCTGAAGGGAAACAAGGATGGGTTAAAGGTAAGACCCAAGTTACACGTGCTATGGTATGGAAGGAGAAGAAAAAAGGAAAAAATATCATGTTTTTTTTTTTTATTTTGTTCATCCAATTTAACAATGAGGCTCTCACTTCATGTTAGCTAACAATTCTTCTGATCTTCCTCTACTTCTAACAGAAACTACGGTTGCGGATAGAGGATCCACCGCGAAGAAAGCATATGGTGTACCTTGGAGGAGCAGTCCTTGCAGAAATTATGAAGGTACAGTGTTGCCTCTCTCTCTCTCTCTCTCTCTCACAAACCAGGACACAGTGGTTTCAATGATGTGTTTTGTCAACTTGCATTTTTCACCCCCATGTTAAGTATGTCTTGTGCTTCTAAAAGTAGACCACAATATTTGGACGGTGCATTTGTTGCTTTCAGATTTGTGAAAAGCAAACTGAAATGAAGAGCAAAAAATGAAAGCAAGAAAAGAAAAAATAAATAAAGGGAAAATAATTTTCTTAACAAAAAGCAATTTTTTAGATACAGGGAACAAAAACATGAATTGATATGAAGTTGGACATTGAGAAATTTGATTACTCGTGCAGGATGCACCGGAGTTTTGGATTAGCAGAGAAGATTACCTGGAAGAGGGAATTGCATGTCTAAGCAAGTGTGGCCAAGCATGAATTTTTGGCTAGGAGAGTGTTAGCATTTAAGTCTTCCAAGCGTTGGGTGGCTAATGTAGTGATCTATTTTTATGATAATTCTAGCAAAAGTTTCGTTAGGCCATACGTATCGCCCAAAAAAAACTCTCACCATGCCATACCCCTATTGCTAGGTATAGGGAAAAAATTATGTGTTTTAATGCTTCCTGCATATCTTTATATTGGTGGAGCAGATGTCTATCATATATATCAGTGTAACAATTTTTGTACTTGAATTTTCCCTTTTATCATAGGATGTTTTTTTCTTCTTTGCGACGGCATTACACCATCGCAAAAAATAGAAAATTTTAATATTTTTATTAATTTTGTTACAGGTTTTACTTTTTGCGACGGTATTATACTGTCGCAAAAAATAGAAATTTTATTATTTTTTAATACTTTTTGCGACGGCATTACACTGTCGCAAAAAATAGAAATTTTCATATTTTTAATACTTTTTGCGACGGCACCACACCATCGCAAAATAGTGTTTTTGCCATTGCAAAAAAAGACTACTAGCGACGGTATTTTTTGCCGTCTCAAATAACATTTTTAGCGACGGTAAAATAGTGCCGTCGCAAAAAAGTCAAGAAATTTCAAACGTTATTAGCGACTGCACAGTGTCGTCGCAAAAAGGCAAAAATGCCGTCGCAAAACATTAGCGACGGCACTATGCCATCGCAAAAACTCTTTTGCAACCCCTGCAGTTGTGACCCCCTCTTGCCGTCGCAAAAAGTCATTTTGCCGCCGCAAAAAGTATTAGCGACGACATTAGGAGTATTAGCGATGGCATTTTACAGTCGCAAAAAGTCAATTTTTTTGTAGTGACTGGGTCCTTACCTATGAATCTAGGAGCCCTTTATGCTTTAGAATTTTTTGTTGCTTATAACAATTCACTTGGAACAAACCAAGGCAATAAATTAATGAGCTTCCTCACTTCTTTATTCAATTGTTCCAATCTACAACATTTGAATTTGGCTATGAATCATTTTAAAGGCTTTTTGCCCCATTCTATTGCAAATCTCTCCACCAAGATCACTTGGCTCGATCTACAAGACAACTATATATCTGGAAGCATACCTCGTGGTATTGGGAACCTTGTAAATTTGCAAACACTCTTTTTTCTAAGTGGCAACATGCTTACAAGTAGTATTCCGAATTCCATTGGAAAACTCTCCATGTTGGAAATCCTCATGCTTGACAAAAATAACATCTCTGGAGAGATTCCATCGTCTATTAGAAACCTGAGTAGGCTTGGTACACTTGACCTATCAACAAATATGATTGAGGAAAGCATTCCTATTTCTTTAGGCAATTGTACCAATCTACTACAAATTCATCTTGATTACAATCGTCTCATGGGAGAAATACCTTGTCAAATCTTGGGTCTCTCTTCCCTCATTAATCTATCCTTAAGTCAAAATTACTTAACAAGACTACTACCGCAAGAAGTGGGTAACTTGGAAAATCTGAATGGACTATATGTATCAAAAAATAAAACTATTTGGAGAAATCCCCGAAACTCTCGGCAATTGTGAAGTTTTAGAATTCCTGTACATCGATGGTAACCTTTTTGAAGGTACAATTCCAACGATCTTTAGACAATTGAAAGGTATTCAAGAACTAGATGTTTCTAGGAACAACTTGGCTGGACAAATTCCAAGGTTTCTCGGGGAGTTTCGGTTTTTTCAATATCTCAAACTTTCCTACAATATGTTTGATGGTGAAGTTCCGAATGGAGGAGTTTTCACAAACATTAGTGCCTTTTCAGTTGTTGGAAATAGTAAGCTATGCGGAGGAATTAAAGTATAGCAATTGCCTGCATGCCCAATGCAAGTCTTAAATGAAAGGAAACAACCTTTCAACCATAGAGTAATAGTTCTAATAGTTACTCTCACTATTGTTCTATTATCATTGTGCATTTTAGCTATTATTTACCAAAACAAAAGGTCCAGACAGCAAGTCAAATTAGCCTCACCTTTGCAAAACAAATATTTACGACTATCTTTTGGAGAACTTTTTCAAGCAACAAATGGGTTCTCCCCATCCAACTTAATTGGTGAGGGAGGATATGCCTCTGTTTATAAAGGGATTCTCAACTCTGATGAACAAATTGTTGCTGTGAAGGTGCTCAAACTACACGAACGTGGAGCGAACAAGAGTTTTGTTATAGAATGTGAAGCATTGAAAAACATACGCCATCAAAATCTTGTCAAGATAATTACAGCTTGCTCAAGCATTGATTTTACAGGCAACGACTTCAAGGATTTGGCCTTTGAGTTCATGGAAAATGGGAGCTTAGAAAATTGGTTACAACCAAGTCTTTTAGAGCAACATGAACCTAAGAACTTGAACTTTGTTCAAAGGATGAACATTGCCATTGACGTGGCATGTGTTGGACAATCTTCACTGTATTTGAAAAAATAAATTTTGTTGTGTATGTAACAACAAACAGAATATAAAATAAATAAAGGAAATGAGAGAGAATGTTTGATTACAAAAATCAAACTAGAAATAGAATTAAATAAATAAAAACAAATTTTATTTTGTTACCAAAACAAAATTAAAATTTGATTTAAATAAATAATAATAAAACAGAAAATAAATAATTAACTTATTTGATTAATATCTTGAATATCATTCTGATCAAGTCCAGTGTTCGACACTGTGTCCTTAAGACAAATTCGTCCTCTCCACGGTGCTTTCAGAATATGGACGTCTATCTCCCATGATGAAATGATCAACAACAAATAAATGTAGCACTACAATTTATTTGTTCAACGAACACACTTAGTGTATACTCTCTTTCTCACAGAAAAATAATGGAATAAATATTGCAAAATGTAGAGATGAATTGCAGCAAGGATGGACGAAAATTGGAGTAGAAATCCAAATGAGAGACTGCCTATTTATAAAGGTGAAGTGGTGGCTTGGTGGCTACTAGTTTTGAATTAAACAGGTACAATACATGTTCAATTTAAATTAAACAGATACAAAATCTGTAGGCACTGTTTGGTTTGAATTTTAAACAATTCGGATTTGAATTTGAACAAATTCGGTTTGGACAGATCTGAAACTGTGTAAAATTTCTGAAGGGGTGCAAACCAAAAAATTTGAATTTAGAATTTGAAATAAAAATGAAAAGATTTTATTTATAACCAAACAAAATAAAATTCAAATGTTTTTAGCCCAAAAAGATTAGTATTGGGCTAGACAAGCCCAATCCAACCTCAGCCTAGCCCGCCTGGACGGACGGACTGCGGCGGCGGCGCGCGCGATGATTTTTGGGTCCAATGGGTCCAGACCATTTTGCCCATAACCTTCCTCTCTATAAAACTTAGGTACCCCTTAGGGCATACCCCAAGTTCCAATCCCATGCCTTATAAACCCACTCAAAACTTCCCACTAAATCAATGTGGGACAAGCCAATATACACACTTTAAAGGATTTTTCACCAAAACTCCATTTCCATAGAGCACACTTTGGCTTCAATTTCCCATTCACTCGATAATGGTTTTAAGCAACCAAATATACCATGTGAATCACAATGCGGCATAGAATGCGTTACCACTTCGACCCGCCAACTTTGGCGTACGGGTCCCACCTAAATAATTGACCAAAGTTAGGCAAAAATTCTGTTTTACATAATTTTTCCCAACCATTTCTAACAATCCCCCACATGAATGGAATTTGATGACAACGGAAATGCAACAATATGCAGACTTAGTCGAAAGAGTATAAGTCAAAAATATCTTGCATCAGGGTAGGTAACTTTCGGCCTTGAACCTTCCCTAGTGATAACCTATCGGATTTACTAGCTAACCAATGGACGCGATGCCTTGCATTGTTCAGCCGTTTGTGTAAGCCAAGACAATAGATTTCACACAAAATATCTTCTAACACATCGTGGTTCTCACTGTTGTGTTCATTTTGGCCTTGAACGCTCCTGGTTTTCATGAGTGCTTCTAGAGAATTTAGCCTCTTCATTCTCGTAAAACCGGCCCCAGTTCAACACTCATATAGGTGATTCTTATTATGAGTATCTCCTTATACTCGTCTTGATTTTATGCCTAAATCAAGATATAAGTAATCATTAAAAGCTAAGCTTATCCTTATACCCCTGCAAACAACACATGTTGCAGATATCACTCTCACCATAGGAATGGGTAGGGAATTTTAATCCCTTGGTGATTTCTGGCGAGCCACACATAACTTAGTTGTCCCTTTGAACTTATTTCTTGGGATCTCCAGTCATATAAGTAGGGTTACCATTATGATGACTCTTATGTAATAGGCTTTAATCCCATCCCCTTCGATGAACTATACACTAGTTCTTTTGTCAAACCTTTTGTTAACGGATCCGCAATATTATCTTTAGATTTTATATAGTCTATTGAGATTATTCCATTTGACAACAATTGCCTTACGGTATTATGTCGACGACGAATATGTTGTGACTTACCGTTATATATATGATTCTGTGCCCTGCCTATTGCAGATTGACTATCACAATGAATGCAAATAGCTAGCACAAGTTTTGGCCACATTGAAATGTCTTCTAAGAAGTGACGAAGCCATTCTGCTTCTTCTCCTGCTTTGTCTAAAGTAATGAACTCGGATTCCATTGTGGATCGTGCGATGCATGTTTGTTTCGTGGATTTCCAAGAAACAGCAGCACCTCCCAGAGTAAAGACATATCCCCTAGTGGATTTTGAATCTTTAGTATCCGATATCCGATTGGAATCACAATAACCTTCGAGTACTGCTAGATATCGAGTAAAGTTCAAAATATGATCACGGGTAAACCTTAGATATCTAAGAACTTGAATGATCGCTTTCCAATGGTCTTCTCCGGGGTTACTAGTGTACCTACTCAATTTACTGATTACATAAGCTATGTTAGGACGAGTACAATTCATTAGATACATTAGGATTCCAATGATTTGGGAGTATTTTAATTGAGACACTACATCATCTTTATTTTTCGATAAATAAAGATTGATGTCTACAGGTGTTCTAGCTACATTCAAATCATCCTTGATAAATTTATCAAGAATTTTCTCAATATAATGAGATTGAGATAATGTATATTCGTCAGATGTTTTAGTAATTTTCATTCCTAATATAACATCTGCAACCCCCATATTTTTCATATCAAATCTTTTGTTAAGCATTTGCTTAGTTGATTTGATCATGTTTTGACTGCTTCCAATGATAAGCATGTCATCCACATGAAGACAAACTATGACATATCATTGGTCAGTATTTTTAACATACACGCACTTGTCACATTCGTTTATCTTAAACCCTTTAGTAAGCATTGCATGATCAAATTTTTCGTGCCATTGCTTAGGTGCTTGTTTTAATCCATAAAGTGATTTTACAAGCCGACAAACTTTCTTTTCTTGCCCCGACACTACAAACCCATCGGGTTGCCCCATATAGATCTCTTCATTTAGATCACCGTTTAAGAAAGCCGTTTTAACATCCATTTGATGTATTTCTAAATTAAACAACACTGCTATAGAAATAAGCATGCGAATGGATGTTATTCTTGTCACAGGGAAATATGTGTCAAAATAGTCTAGACCTTCCTTTTGTCTGTAACCTTTAACTACAAGTCTTGCTTTATACTTGTCAATTGAACCATCTGCTTTCATTTTTCTCTTGAATATCCATTTATATCCAAGAGGTTTAGAACCTGGTGGAAGATCCACCAATTCCCAAGTATGATTTTGCATAATGGATTCAATTTCATTATTAACAGCCTCTTTCCACAAAGGTGCTTCAGGACCTGTCATTGTTGCCTTAAAGCTTTGAGGTTCATTTTCTAACAGGTATGTCAGAAAATCTGGAGCAAAGGATTTTGAAGTTCTCGCTCTCTTACTTCTTCTTGGTTCATCATCAATTAAATCTTATTGGTCGAGACCATTACTAGTCTCTTGTGTTAGATTGTCATTAGTCTCTTGACTTTGTGTACAATCATAAGTTCTTTTCTGTGAACTTAATTCCTGTCCTTTCTTATAAGGAAAGACATGTTCAAAAAATACAGCATTCCTTGACTCTATAATAGTGTTCACATTTATATCAGGTATTTCTGATTTATAAGTCAGAAACCGACATGCACTATTATTCTGAGCATAACCAATAAACACACAGTCTACTGTTTTTAGTCCAATCTTAGTCTTTTTAGGAACAGGAACTTCAACTTTTGCCAAACACCCGCACACTTTTAAGTATTTGTAGGAAGGCGGTCGACCTTTCCACAATTCATAAGGAGTGCTGTTGGTTTTCTTATGGGGTATTCTGTTAAGGACATAATTAGCAGACAATATTGCTTTCCCCCCACAAGTTCTGTGGTAAGCCTGAACTTAGTAACATGGCATTCACCATTTCTTTTAGGGTTCTATTCTTCCTTTCAGCAATTCCATTTTGCTGTGGGGAATAAGGGGCTGTAGTTTGGTGAATAATGCCATGTTGTGTACAAAATTCATTTAATGATGCATCATATTCACCACCCCTATCACTTTTAATATAAAACAAAATAACATCCATCACTTGTTGTCTATGATGTGCTTGATTCATAAATTTCAAATCATGATTCATTAATTTCAAATGAAAAATCCAAAATAATTATGACTACACAAATCAGAATTAATGTTTTGACAAAATCATATCCTAACAAAAATTTTTCCTAAGAATCAAATAACTCAAAAAACCCATTTGATTGTAAGAGATAAAACCAAATATTTGTGACAAAAGAAAATTACATTATCTCATCTAATGCAAGAGATACACTCCCATATTAATATAATGGTTTATGATTTAACAAATTCTACTACGCGAGTAAAATAATAATTAACGACATCTCATGTCACAAATTCAAAACAAACTAATAATCAACATAAAAGATTTCTTAAATTTACTTCCAAATAAATGGAACGACATAACTACATACATCTTCATGTTTAAATTCCTCTGGTGTTTAAACACCTATTCAAAATTGATGAGAAATATTCAAATTAATCTGCTTATGTCCAAGGTCAACAAATCAATTTATCATTCCAACTCACATGACATTATTTTTTTTTTTTAAAGAAATAACTTGAGTTGATATCAATACATGCATATCAAACGCATCAACTAAAAATAATGAATTAACAAAATAAATTAATCATGCAAGATACCATGAGATAAAAAGATTCTTAACTCATAAATAAAATCCAACGTAAGTAAACCAGCACGTTTTAAATTTTAAACTCCAAAACCGACAAAACATACCCTCATTTAATCAGTTTGATTTGTATATAAATAAACTAATTATATACACATGAAAATGTTCTTGTGAATATATATATATATATATATATATTTTCCAACTCATGTGCAGAAACTATTCACAGAATTAAAGAATAAATCAGTAAACTAATAAAGGAAAAACTTGCCATAAAGGTTTTTTCGTAATAAAAATGAAATTAGTTTGTAAAACTAATATTTAACTCCAGAATCAAATACTTCGAAGTATTAACACCTTTTTACAAAGGGTTTAAGTGACCTTCCAAACGAAACCGTAAGTTACGTACAAAATGTACAGATTGTAACTGAAACACAAAGTTACATGATTGATTAACAAAATTAATTTTCTAGTTACTAAAACCAGAAAATAAATTATACCACAAACTAATTTTATTTTTCTTGTTACTAAAACTAGAAAATAATATAATTTTATTTTTCTTGTTACTAAAACTAGAAAATAAAATACCACAATAATATCTGATTACAAAAATCAGAAAAACACACCACAAATTAATTTTCTAGTTACCAAAACCAGAAAATTAATTAAAACACAAAATAATTTTATTTTTCTTGTTACTAAAACTAGAAAAATAAAACACCAAAATAATTTTCTGTAACACCAAATAATATTCTGTAATTGTTAATGAT